TTCCTCTTCATTTGTTTGGTGTGGTGGGTTTTTACCTTGCTCCTTTGTCTGCTGTGTTTTTCCCTGTGTTTTCATTTTGCTTAACTTACTGTGTTTGGGGTCTCCTTTTCGCAGGCTGGAGGTTCGTAGTTCCCACTGTTTTTATTGTCTGTGCCCAGTGGTTAAGGTTGGTTCAGTGGGTTGTTTCGGCTTCCTGGTAAGGGTCTGGTGCCTGTGTTCTGGTGGATGAGACTGGATCTTGTCTTTTGGTGGGCGAGACCATGTCCAGTGGTGGGTTTTGCGGTGTTTTGACATTTGCATGATATTAGGCAGCCTCTTTGCTATTGGGTGGGGTTGTGTTCCTGCCTTGCTAGTTTTTTGGCATAGGTTGTCCAGCACTGTAGCTTGCTGGTCATTGAGTGGAGCTGGGTCTTAGCATTGAGATGGAGATCTATGGGAGGGCTTTTGCTGTTTGATATTATGTGGTGCTAGGAGGTCTCTGGTGGACCAATGTCCTAAACTCAGCTCTCTCTACTCAGAGGTACAGGACTGACATGTGGCTGGAGTACCTAGACTCTTTCAGCCACACAGCTAGAAGAAAAGGTAGAAAGAAAGGAAGGAAGGAAGAAAGAAAGAAAGGAAAGAAAGAAGAAGGAAATAAAAAAGAAAGAAAGGTAAAAATAAAATAAAGTTACTAAAATAAAAAATTTAAAAATTATAAAAATTTAAAAATTATTAAAATTATTAAAATTAAAATAATATAAAATTATTTTAAAAATGGAGAGACCAAACCCTGGGAAAAATGGTAAAAGCAAAGCTATACACACAAAATCACACAAAGAAGCATACACATACACACTCACAAAAGGAGAAAAATTAAAAAAATAGATATTTATATATATATAAAAAGAAGAGAGAAACCAAATCAATAAATGAATCTACCACTGATAATAAACTTTTAATACTAAACTAAGATAAACGTAAAACCAGACACAAATTAGATGTAGAAAGTGAACCCCAAGTTTGCAGTTGCTCCCAAAGTCCGGCACTTCAATTTCGGGCTGATTCGTTGTCTATTCAGGTATTCCATGTATGCAGGGTACATTAAGATGACTGTCGAGATTTAATCCACTGCTCCTGAGGCCGCTGGGAGAAATTTCCCTTTCTCTTCTTTGTTTGCACAGCTCCTGGAGTTCAGCTATGGATTTGGCCCTGCCTCTGCGTGTATGTCGCCTGAGGGCATCTGTTCTTCACTCAGACAGGAAGGGGCTAAAGTAGCAGTTGATTAGAGGGCTCTGGCTCACTCAGCCCAGGGGGGTAGGGAGGGGTATGAAATGCAGGGCGAGTCTGCAGCGGCAGAGGCTGGTGTGACATTGCAACAGCCTGAGGCACGCCATGTTTCTCCCGTGGATGTTGTCCCTGGATCACGGGACCCTAGCAGTGGTGGGCTGCACAGTCTCCTGGGGGGGATTGTGTGGATAGTGACTGGTGCTTGCACACAGGCTTCTTGGTGGCTGAATCAGCAGCCTTAGCATTTCATGCCCATCTCTGGTGTCCATGCTGATAGGCGTGGCTCACACCCAGCTCTGGAGTTCGTTTAGGCAGTGCTCTGAATCCTCTCTCCTCGTGCACCCTGAAACAATGGTCTCTAGCCTCTTAGGCAGTTCCAGACATTTTCCTGGACTCCCTCCTGGCTAGCTGTGCCGCACTAGCCCCCTTCAGGCTGTGTTCATGCAGCCAACCCCAGTCCTCTCCCTGGGATCTGACCTCCGAATCCATAGTCTCAGCTCCCAGCCCCCACCCGCCCTGGCTGGTGAGCAGACAAGCCTCTCAGGCTGGTGCGTGCTGGTTGGCACTGATCCTCTGTGTGGGAATCTCTCCACTTTGCTCTCTGCACCCTTGCTGCTGTGCTCTCCTCCATGGCTCCAAAGCTTCCCCCGCCACACCCCGTCTCCACCAGTGAAGGGGTTTCCTAGTGTGTGAAAACTTTTCCTCCTTCACTCCTCCCTCCCAGAGGTGTCGGTCCCATCCCTATTCTTTTGTCTCTGTTTTTTGCTGTTTTCTTCTGCCCTACTCAGGTACATGGGGAATTTCTTTACTTTTGGGAAGTCTGAGGTCTTCTGCTAACATTCAGTAGGAGTTGTTTCACATGTAGATGTATTTCAGATGTATTTGTGGGGAGGAAGGTGATCTCCATGTCTTACTCCTCCACCATCTTGAAGGTCTCCTGACTCTTCTTTTTCATTTGACAAATCAAACTGAAATTATTATGTAGATGCTTTTGATACCCACCCTGTTTATTCAAACATGTGGAGGAGGCAAGTGAGTGGCAGAGAGAGCAAAGCACTGCTTCATTTTCTTGATTTGCAAGGCTTGTCCACAGCTGCACCCACCAAGCTGGCAGGACTTCTTTCTGAATGTCCAACTGCTCGGGTAGGTGGAACATAGAAAAAACCTATACCAGGGAATCAGTGAGGTTGAGCCACCCAAGCCAATAGCCAACCAGCCATGGAATGGACATATCCTATTGCTTTCTGTGGGAGGCTCCCCAGCACTCATCTACCTTTAGCCTTACCAGGAGTTGGACTTCCCCCCAAGGCAGTCTTACTCTCTTGCTTAGATATGGACACTTTACTGCAGAAACAAGTCCCAGCAATATCATAAAGGGAAGCAACTGGGCTGTAGGAAGCAGAAGGCTGGAAGAGTATGTGGTGCAGCAGTGTAAAGAACACCCCCCAGGGAATCTGGAGACTAGATTCAAGTTTTAGTTTTGTCATTGACTTGCTGTTTGGCCTCAGTCAGGAATAGGCTTCTCAGACTTCCACCATCATTACAAGGTTTGCATGTGTGCACGTGTGTGTGCACGCACACATGTGCATAAGCATGGCCAGAGATGTTCTTTGGGGAGTTCCCTAAGAGACCTACTGACTCTGACATTTTAGAAATATTTAAGACTAGATATGGCACACTTGATCGAAACTTTGGTCCTGGCCTCTGAAATGTACCCATCAGGCCTTGCTAAAGAAAATGCTTCATAGAGGGCAAACCTTCTGAAGCTGGTCAGTTGCACAGTGACCTCAGAGTCTGAAAAGTTAACCACAAGGAATTTTTCTTCTTACTAACTTAAATAAAGAAGGACTTTGTCAAGCAGGGTTGTGTGGGCTTGGATGAGATTAGAGGACCAGTCAATCATGCTAACAAAGGAGGCAGAAAGTAACTGCCTCCTATTCGAAAGACTTTCCTTTGTTTCCCAACCCCCAACTATAGACAAAAACAAATAAAATTCCTTCTGAGATGCTGAGTCTTTAAATCATAGTTCAGTGCTTTCATGTTAGGTGTTAGTGAAGCTCCCTGAACAGGCCAAAGAATTTTAAGCTATTCTTGGTCTCCCATGGCCCCAGCTGCAGGGACTGGAGGCCAAGAGCCCATGGAGGAATTAGAAGGTCTTCCAGGTATTGGGAAGGGGAAAAATGTTTCAGGGAATAGAAAGACAACTGCTGCTGGGAACATCCTATTACAGAGAATCCCCACAGGGGTAGAGAAAAAGAGGCCTGCTAATCAGCCACAGTTTCAGAGTGCCTGAGAATTAGCGATCTTTCTAGAGGTCATTTGATCCAGTCCTCTGATCAGGAAACTATCCAAAGCAAACCAGACACAGGGGAAGGAGAATCCATGATTTCCTAATAAGTCTGCGCCAGTGCTGTTTTCTTCTTATGAGCAAGAAGATCTCTTTATATAGATTCCTTCCTCTCCTTGCATCTCAAAGAATCACTGCTGTTTTCTACTCTGTATGGGGACATTATCCTTCAAATAAGACTCAAAAATATGCCAGCTGCTCAGAACTGTGGACATTTCCAGCCATGTACATTAAAGAGGAACAGAAGTAGCAGAATAAAGGAAAGATGACTTTTTCTGGACATTGGTTAAGTAACTGTAAGGCTGTTTCATTCCCTTGGAATGTGCTAAACTATATGAGAAGTTAGAGAGCTACTAGCTCTCAAATTACAAGAAATTATACCTGTGTGGAGGCCAGAGGAATGGGGAGCTGACTCAACTTCTACACTATGATCATGAAGCTTAAGATTGCCACCTCCTCCCTGGTAGCATGTCCTGCCTCTACTATCTTGGTTATATTAGCTGTGGACTGTCAGATTTCATAACTTGGGTCTGAGAGATAAATGTGAAATGTCATTACTCCTGGTTCTCTTGATGGGCACAAGAGAGAAACAATAAATAGTGTACTTAACACACAGGTACCTGTGAGGCCTTAAAGTTCACAGCTCTTTTTTCTGTTTAACAGACACCTCAGGAACTTCAACAGAGTAGTGGCATAAGAGGCAAAAGCTCCATTTATTTGTTAGGCTGTGTATATCCTCTGAAAGTTAGCATCTCAGAAGACAATGCTTTAGTGAAGGCTTTCTGAGTTCAGAGAAGTCGTGGCCAATTCCAATAGAATGGAAGGCTCAGGGATTATTTTTATAAGCAGATAATTAAAAAACAGAACTTGGCCTGTCAGTTGGGCAGGGATGATGGTTGTGACCTGAAGTGTGCAGGCTTGGATAGAACTAGTAGATATGTCAGGGTGAGGTGATCTCACGAAGAGGAAAAGAAGAAGTATGTTGGCTGGCCTGCATCAGAGAAACAACCTTGCACTCTGTGTCTGGGAGTGAATTATTACCTATTACTCCTTATCCAAGTGTTCATCTGGTGGTGATAAAATTCCAGGACTTGAAAGAGCTTTGAAAGGCTACTGAGTCAACCCAATTATTTCTTAGCAACACCCAAATAGATGAATCTTTCCTTTCCTAATGAAATATTGCAACCGAGATTTCTCCAACCTTCTTAGAAAGCTATTCAAGTACACAACACCTCTTATTAGCAGGAAGTTTTGCCTTGGCTCTAATCTAAATCCTTTCTGATGCTCTTCAAATATAATTACTCTTTGCTCATCTTTGGCTAAGATGTGAGGTTCTGGCTAAGGTATTCAGACTCTCCAATGTCCCTGTTAGTAAGGGTCCTACCTCCCAGTCTAGGACAGAGGCCTGCCACTGGGCAATCTTGTCAATATTCTCCAAGCGCCGCTTGCGTTCATTGATCTGCTGAGTCACATTTCTCATGACAGCCAGAGCAGCTGCCACATACCTGTAGTCACTGTGAAGACACAAAATTACAAGTTGGATGAGTCAATGTGCCATTGAACCAATGTGCTGGGTGCCAACACTAACATCCATTCTCCTCTTCCTACTTAGCAAGAGAGCCCTGATTTTAGATAGAATCCATGCCACATGGTACAAAAGACTACATTTTCTATCCTCCTTTACAGTAAGAGGTGACTTATATGATCAAGTTCTGTCCAGTGATATGTAAATAGAAATGTTGGGTAGAACTTTTGAAAAACTACCTTTAAGGAAAACAGCATGCCCTTCTTTGGTCCTTACTTAAACCTGACGCTTAAGAATATTTAGATGTGATGGCTGAAGTTCTAGCAACCATCTTAGACCATAAGGACAAGGTCCATACTCCTAAGGATAGGATAAGAGAAAACTGGAAGGAGTCTCTGATAATCATGGAGCCAGCAAGGCAGCCATAAACTGCCTACCTGCAGGCGTTTTCTCTATGAAAGAGAAACAGACTCATCTTTGCTATGCCATTATTTTTGTACCTATCTGATACAACCAGCCAAGGATGAGGAAGGGAGCCTCACACATGGCATGGTCCAGAGAACTTTACCATCTGTTCTAGCACCTATTTCTAGGGAACTCTGCCCAAAGTCACTGTAAAATAACATCCAAACCTTTCCTCCTATACAATATAGAGATAGGATGTAGCATTGTGGTTAAGAACAGAGACTGGAGCCAGACTCCTTGAACACAAACCCTAGTTTAGTCACTGACTAGTGGTGTGGCCTTTGACAATCTCATTCTCCCTCTCAGTGACTCAGTTTCCTCATCTGTAAAATGGGGAGAATTACAGTAGAATTTGCTGAAGTTTTAATAATCCATGAAAACTGTTTTACTCTTGGCTCACAGCAAATGTCTGCAGTATTATTAATACAAAACAAACATTTCTCTAGTATAGACATTATATGGGTTGTCTCTCAAAACCTCTAACTCCAGAAGTACAATCCTAGGCCCCATTTTCCTGGGACTTTGGATGGCCCACTTGTTGAATGTTATACCATCCTTCCCAGTTTTCTCTGTTTGTCTGATCTAATTTCCAGTCAAATGGCTCCTGTGAAAAGAAGATTGAAAGTTAGATCCCAGACATTTGGTGGAATAATAAGTTGAGAAGGCAGGAGGATGAGTTACAGTTCAGTCTTAACAAACTTTTCCTTAGAGAAGCTGAACATGCTTTGTGGTCACTAACCTGCTCACTGTCCCTGCACCAATTTGAAAGAAGAGAAGAGAAAAAGAAGAGCAGGGCAACTGTCTTTTTCTTCCCTAATACATTGAGGTGTGGGGTGGTGGACCAATCATAGGAACAGAAGAAAGGGAGTTCTAACTGCTAGGGCAGATGAGACACAGCACCTCCTCTTAGCTGGCCTCCCTGGCTCCAGTCTGTTCTCTGCACACCTGCCAGACCATAGTCTTCAAACGTTACTACATTTTATCACCTACAGTGACAGGATACTCACTACAAATCCTAACCAGTCTATTCTGTCTCAAGACAACTCTGTTAACACACACACACACACACACACACACACACCAAAATCTCTTTATCCTGAGCCTTAATGAATGTTAGCAGTTACCAGTTTTTCTTGTGGATCTCACTTCTGACTCATACTGAACTTATGATCAACCAGTACTTCTTAAATTTCTTTAAAATATGCTGTCTAGAAGCTGTATGTCTCTCAGTCTGTCCTTGAATTGTTGATTTCTTAGACCAAACTACAGAATATTACATTTGTTTCTGTTACATTTCATTCTTTTACAGTTACTTGCTCCAACCTGTGGGGGAGTTATTGTGCTCTGTAAAACTGTCAAAGTTTTTCCCTGGCAAGACTATCTGAGCTTGCCATTTAGAAGCAAGGTAGGGTAATGACAGAAGGGGTGGTTGCAGTGCAGAAGTTGCTGACGTAAATAAGCACCCCTGTTCTTTAGGTCCTTTTTCTGTCTCCCATGCTATTCCTCCCTGATTTGAGAGCATCAGGAAAATGCCTTAAGCCACTTTCTAGGAGGTAAAGCATAGAGTTACACTGTCAAATATGGTAGCCACTAGCCACATTTAATTAGAATTAAATAAAATTTTAAAATTTAGTTCTTTAGTTGCATCAGCTACATTTCTCAGTACTCAATAGCCATATGTGGCCAGTGTCTACTATATTAAACCACAAAGATATGGAACATTTACATCACTGTACAAAGTCCTATTGGACAGTGCTGGCATGAGAATGCTTATTACCTCTGCCTGACCCCATGTACTACTTAGCCATGAATTTATCACTGCCACTGTGCCATACTGTCAGTCAACCTTTGCCATTTTTAGCTGGCTGCCTTTCTCACGATGGTTAGAGGGGGGTATGTCACCATCTCTAACATTCCCCACTAGCTTTAGGAGTGGGTGAGAGAAAAAAGTAAATAGCTGTGGTCTAGCCTGAACCCTGCTCAGAGCCCTCAGGCTTCCAGATGAGGTCTGAGCCCAGCACCCTAGTGAGGAGACTGACTGAACCAAGATTGTCTTGTTCCAGGCAGGTCAGCTAACCCCCTTCTTGTAGTCTTTCTTCTTAGCAGCTTAAGCAAGGTTGGGTGGGGGGCTGGGGACATGTCACCCTTCTGTAAACAATGGTAGTATTATTCTCCATTTACCACTCTCTATCCACCTAATCTTCTCCCTCAGGGACTACTCTGCCTGCTTGCATTTCAGACCTACCTATCTGAACACCTATCGACCTAAGTCTTCAACCTGGCAGTAGTCTCTAATTGCCTTCAAACCCAAGCTACTTTGGCATGCATCACAGGAGCTATCACCTTGATATAGCTTTCTGAGGCCTGCAAGAAGGAGTGGCCCATGGCCTGGGGATAGTGCTAGGCCCAATGGGTCACCCCAAATGAGGACAGGGATTGATGTAGCCCTTGACTGCCTGAGCCATTCTCTCAGCACCCCTGAGCCTAGGGGTGGAAGGAGAGGGGACCAGAGACCCAGAGGGTAAGAAGGCCTTGATGCAGGGGTTCTACTCACAAGGCGAAGGTGCACAGGAATGGGAAATCCCAGGGAGATATGCTATCTTGTTGGCTCCCACTAAACCCAAAAGGCCCTGGGGTTGCTTTGGTCTAAAAGACAAACATAATTTTTGGCTGTGCTTTAAAATTGGTCCTTGGGGGGCTCTTAAAAACATTTATGTAAGTACATAATTTACCTAGTTAATATCATCAGTCCACAAGTATAATTTTTAGAGCAGACACTCAGGAGTAGGTGGGAGATGAGCTGTGATATAAAAACATTTGAGAATCACTCTTTAAATATACTGGTTTTAAAACCACTGGTCTGAAAGCAGCTCCACTGAGATTTAGGTGCAATAGTGGCTGCTTCTGGTCACTTAGCACCTTGAAGTATTCCTGTGGAGGTCATTTAGATTCATTACAACATGGGATGGCAGAACTAGAAAAGGCCTTCCAGACTGGCTAGTACAATGGCTCACAAATCTTCCTTGGCATGAAAATCACCTGGAGCGCTCTTTAAAAAGTTAGGTTCCCAGACCACTGTCCATACTTTGTGTCCCTGCTTTGCCACAGACTTGCTCTTTGTCATTTTCCCTTTCTGGGACTCAGTCTGTCTAGCCATAGAATGAATAAGTCTGACTAGAAGACCTTCCTCTAAGGCCCTTTCCATTTTAGGTGCCATAAATGTTTTCCATTTTTATTTTTAAAATATTAAGATATTTTAGTTGGGGTTCTTTAATATCCTATTAGCTCTCACAAGTTTGCTCCTTAGAAAACTTGGGACTCAGTTTTGGCAATGGGCTGTATTAAATCTTTTAAGTGAGATTTAGTCACCTCCAAATTTCATGTCTAATTAGTACTCCCACTATTCCCCAGCTAGTAAACAGACTCAGGGAGAAGGGAACAGAGTCCTCCTTTGCAAGGTCCTTCTATACCTGCCTCGCTCACAGCCAACAGAGCAAGGAAGGCAGAGTTACCACTGGTGGTGTTACTCATACAAAGGGAGAGTCCACTGCTACTACATTTGGTTTCAAATCTGAAATCTGTCCAGGGCTTCAGACCACTGAAGCACATAACCCATGATATGCTAAAGAACAACATCAACTTAAAAACGAACCTAGAGATTGGCCTAGAAGCTTGACATAAAAAAAAACAACTGACGCATACCGATGGCCTTATGCAACTAGGTCTGGAAGTCAGATCCAAGGAAACCAGGCAGTGGAGCCAAATGAAAGTACGAAGCAGGCCTGATGAGAAGCAAGCAGAAACTAAGGGAAATTGGGCAAAGGCCTTCTTTATTCTTATAGTGATCAATCAGGAAGAGAGCTGAGAGCTGGGGCAATAAACCTAAGGTCACGGATTTAATACGAATTAAAAGCAGGCTATAAATAGGCTGGGGGCTCTAGGTCATGAAGCAAAGCACGTGAAAAAATAGGGGATGGTTCACTGTAGACCATTCCCATTGTTGGAGATGACTCCCAGCATATACCTTACTAATAGAGGGTTAGGAGTGTCATTTCCATTCAGAGAAAGATAAGCTCCTTCGTCCTTTTTGGGTTGGTTTTCTTGAAAATACTGAAAAACTTTGAGAAAACTTCAGGGGAAGTCTCAAGTCTATTTTCCCCCAGTCATGCTGTGTGTCTAAGGGGAAGGTACAGTTGGGATGAGGCAGAGGAGGGTGTAAAAGACTAAAGAAGACCAGGGGTGTAGCCTTTCAGAAGAAATCTAAGGCCAGTACAAGTAGGGCAGTCTGTTACCAGGATATTTGACTCTATTGAGCAGAGTAGAATAAACAGTTGATTCACTTGGCTGAACTCAGGACTAAGGACCAGGCTATAAGCTCCCTGAGGGTAGTGTCTAAGTGGTACAATAACGATGAACACTGATTTTGTGTATATATTGATTTATAAGTTTATAAGCAACTGATAAGCATTGTCTCACTTTATATACACAACAGTCTTCAGAGGTAAGCAAGAATATGTCATCATCCCATTGTGTATGTAAGCTAACAGAAATTCAGAAAAGACAAGAGGACATACATTCTCAATAAGGATTAACATGTAGAGGAGGCTCTCTCCTTCACTCCTGCCTCCCTCAATCCCTTACCTATGGTCCTGGGCGGTATACTTGAGGAGCTCAGCCAACTGTAAGGGATACTTGCAGATCTTCTGCACTGGCGTCAAAAGGAAACCATCAATAGCAATGTCAATCATCTGCTGCAAGAGGCGACAGGCCTCAAAAAAGTGCTGGTAGCGGCTGTCCTTCATCAGTTTGGAGAGCTCCATACAGGCGTCCAGGTGGTTGTTACAGTACTCAGAGTATATCCAGAATCCATCTTGCTGTGAGCAGAGGAAAGATAGAGAGAAAGGGAAAGGCTACTGAGAACTCCAAAAGAAGTTCTGGAGAAATGGGAAAACAGACCCTCTACTTATGTAGAAATATAAAAATGATAATGTCAATCTTTCCTACATTGATTCATAATTTAATAATAAAGAAATTATTTGGGAATTAGACAACCTGTAAAAATTCATATATAAAAATAAATAAAAGAGACCTTCAAGATGGTGGAGGAGTGAGACATGGAGATCACCTTCCTCCACACAAATACATCAAAAATACATCTACATGTGAAACAACTCCTACAGAACACCTACTGAATGCTGGCAGAAGAGCTCAGACTTCCCAAAATGCAAAAAATTCCCCATGTTCTTGGGCAGGGCAAAAGAAAAAAGAAAAAACAGAGACAAAAGAATAGGGATGGGACCTCCACCACTGGGAGGGAGCTGTGAACGAGGAAAAGTTTGCACACACTAGGAAGCCCCTTCACTGGTGGGAACAGGTGGGGGAAAAGCTTCAGAGCCATGGAGGAGAGTGCAGAAACAGGGGTGCAGAAGGGAAAGTGGAGAGATTCCCGCACAGAGGATCAGTGCCAACCAGCGCTCACCAGCCTAAGATGATTGTCTGCTCACTCATTGGGAGGGGGGTGGGAGCTGAGAGCTGAGGTTCAGGTTTCGGAGGTCAGACCTCAGGGAAAGGACTGGGGTTGGCTGTGTGAAGACAGCCTGAAGTGGACTAGTGTACCACAGCTAGCCAGGAGGGAGTCTGGGAAAATGTCTGGATCAGATGGAGAGGCAAGAGACCACTGTTTTGGGGTGTGCGAGGAGAGGGGATTCCTGCTCCTTGTGCCCACAGAGGGCAGAGCACCACCTAAATGAGCTCTAGCGACAGGAGTGAGCTGCAGCTATCAGATTGGACCACAGAGACGGGCATGGACCGTTAACACTGCCGCCACTGCCACCAAGAATCCTTTGTGTAAGTGCAGGTCACTACCCACACTTCCGTGGAAACCTGTGCAGCAAACCATGGCCAGGGTCCCATGATCCAGGGACAACTTCCCTGGTAGAACACATGGTGCACCACAGGCTGTTGCAATGTCATGTCAGCCTCTGGTGCTGCAGGCTCACCCCACATTCTAATTCTGACTACCATACTTTTCCCTCTCCCTGGCTGGAGTGAGCAACAGAGCCGTAATCAGCTGCTGCTTGAACCCACTCCTGTCTGGGTGGGGAACAGACACCTGAGGGTGGCCTACATGCAGAGGCAGGGCCAAAACCAAAGCGGAATCCCAGGAGCTGTGCAAACAAAGAAGAGAAAGGGAAATTTCTCCATGCATCCTCAGGAGCAGTGGATTATATCCCCACAATCAACTTGATAAAACCCTGCATCTGTGGAGTAGCTGAATAGACAACAAATGTTCCCAAAATTGAGGTGGTAGACTTTGGGAGAAACTGTAGACTTGGGGTTTGCTTTCTAAGTCTGATTTGTTTTTGGTTTTATGTTTCTCTTAGTTTAGTTTTAAGTGCTTGTTATCACTGGTGGATTTGTTTATTGGTTTGGTTGTTACCTTCCTTTATTTTAAATTTTTAAAATATTTTTATTTTTAATTTTTCCCCCTTTTTCTCTTTATGTGAATGCATGTGTGTATGTATCTTTGTATGATTTGGTCTCTTTAGGTTTGATATCATTTGTCCTAGGGTTCTGTCTGGTAGTTTTGTTTTGTTTTCTTTTTCTGCTCTTGTTGTTTTTTGGTTGTTTGTCTGTTTTTTATGAGTGTGTGTGTGTGTGTGTGTGTGTGCACATGGGTACATTTCTTTGTCTGATTTTGTCTGTTTAGTTTTGTTTTTACCATTTGGTTTGGGGTTCTATCTGTTCGTTCTTTTTTTTCCTTCCTTTACTTCCAAGCTGTGTGGCTGGCACGATTTTGGTGCTCCAGCCGGATGACGGGCATGAGCCTCTGAGGTGGGAGAGCCAAGTCCAGGATATTGGACCACCAGAGACCTCCCAGCCCCATGTAATATCAATAAGCAAGAGCTCTCCCAGAGAATTCATCAACACTAAGACCCATTCCACCCAATGGCCAGCAAGCTCTGGTGCTGGATGCCCCACAGCAAACAACTTGCAAGACAGGAACAAAAACCCACCAATTAGCAGAGAGGCTGCCTAAAGTCATGCTAAGTTGACAGACACCACAAAACACCACACCAGATGTGGCCCTGCACACCAGAGAAACAAGATCCATCTCCACCAACCAGAACAAATGCACCAGTCCCATCCACCAGGAAGCCTACATAAGCAAATAAACCAATCTCACCCACTGGGGGCAAAAGAAAAATAATGGGAACTACAAAGCTGAGGAAAAGGAGAGCCAAAACACACTAAGTTAAACAAAATGAGAAGACAGAGAAATATGAAGCAGATGAAGGAGCAAGGCAAAAACCCAGCAGAACAAACAAATGAAGAGGAAATAGGCAGTCTACCTGAAAAACAGTTAAGAGTAATGATAGTAAAGATGATCCAAAATCTCAGAAATAGAATAGAGAAAATACAAGAAGTGTTTAACAAGGACCTAGAAGAACTCAAGAGCAAACAAACAGTGATGAAGAACACAAAAAAAGAAAGGAAAAATACTCTAGAAGGAATCAATAGCAGAATAACTGAGGCAGAAGAATGGATAAGTGAGCTGGAAGACAGAATACTGCAAATACCTGTGGCAGAGCAGAATAAAGAAAAAAGAATGAATAGACACTTCTGGGGCAACATTAAATGCAACAAAATTCAAATTATAGGGGTCCCAGAAGAAGAACACAAAAAGAAAGTGTCTGAGAAAATATCTGAAGAGACTATAGTCGAAAACTTCCCTAACATGGGAAAGGAAATAGTCAATCAAGTCCTGGAAGAGCAGAGAGTCCCATACAGGATAAATCCAAGAAACATGGCAAGACACATATTACGGAAACAATCAAAAATTAAATACAAACCAAAAATATTAAAAGCAGCAAGGAAAAAGCAAAAAATAACATACAAGGGAATCCCCATAAGCTTAACAGCTGATCTTTCAGCAGAAATTCTGCAAGCCAGAAGGGAGTGGCAGGACATATTAAAAGTGATGAAAGGGAAAAACCTACAACCAAGATTATTCTACCCAGCAAGGATCTCATTCAGATTTGACGGCAAAATTAAAACTTTTACAGACTAGCAAAACTTAAGAGAATTCAGCACAATCAAACCAGCTTTACAAAAAATGCTAAAGCAACTTCTCTAGGCAGGAAACACAAGAGAAGGAAAAGACTTACAAAAAAATAATTAAGAAAATGGTAATAGGAACATATATATCGATAATTACCTTAAATGTAAGTGGATTAAATTCTCCAACCAAAGGACACAAAATGGCTGAATGGATACAAGAACAAGACGTGTGTAAATGCTGTCTACAAGCAACCCACTTCAGACCTAGGGACACATACAGACTGAAAGTGATGGGATGGAAAAAGATATTCTATGCAAATAGAAATCAAAGGAAATCTGGCATACCAATACTCATAACAGACAAAATAGACTTTAAAATAAAGACTATTACAAGAGACAAAAAAGGACACTACATAATGATCAAGGGATCAATCCAAGAGAAGATATAACAAGTGTAAATATTTATGCACCCAACATAGGAGCACCTCAATAAATAAGGCAAATGCTAACAGCCATAAAAGGGGAAACTGAAAGTAACAATCATACTGGGGACTTTAACACCCCACTTTCACAAATGGACAGATAATCCAAACTGAAAATAAATAAGGAAACACAAGCTTTAAATGATACACTTAACAAGATGGAATTAATTGATATTTATAGAACATTCCACCCCAAAACAACAGAATACACTTTCTTTTCAAGTGCTCATGGAACATTCTCCAGGATAGATCATATCTTGGGACACAAATCAAGCCTTGGTAAATTTCAGAAAATTGAAATCGTATCAAGTATCTTTTCCAACCACAGTGCTATGAGACTAGATATCAATTACAGTGAAAACACTGTAAAAAATACAAACACAGGAAGGCTAAACAATACACTACTAAATAATCAAGAGATCACAGAAGAAATCAAAGAGGAAATCAAAAAATACCTAGAAACAAATGACAATGAAAACACACTGACCCAAAACCTATGGGATGCAACAAAAGCAGTTTTTAAGAGGGAAGTTTACAGCAATACAATCTTAACTCAAGAAAAAAGAAAATCTCAAATAAACAACCTAACTTTACACCTAAAGCAATGAGAGAAAGGAGAACAACAAAAAAAATATTAGCAGAAGGAAAGAAATCATATAGATCACATGAGAAATAAATGAAAAGGAAATGAAGGAAACTACTGTTTCAATATATGCAAGTCAATCAATGTGATACACCATATTAACAAGTTAAAGGATAAAAATCAAATATCAATAAAACTAAAAGCTGATTCTTTGAGAAGGTAAAATTGACAGACCAGTAGCCAGATTCATCAAGAGAAAAAGAAAGGACAAGACTCAAAGCAACCAAATTAGAAATGAAAAAGAAGTAACAACTGACACTGTGGAAATAAAAGGGATCATGAGATACTACTACAAGCAACTATATGCAAATAAAATACACAGCCTGGAAGAAATGGTAAAATTCTTAGAAAAGTACAAGCTTCCAAGACTGAACTAGGAAGAAATAAAAAACATGAAGAGACAAATCACAAGCACTATAATTGAAATTGTGATTAAAAATCTTCCAACAAACAAAAGCATAGGGCCAAAAGGCTTCACAAGTGAATTCTATCAAACGCTTAGAGAAGAGTTAACACATATTCTTCTCAAACTCTCCCAAAATATAGCAGAGGGAGGAACACTCCCACACTCATTCAATAGGGCACCATCACTCTGACACCAAAAACAGACAAAGATGTCACAATAAAAGAAAACTACAGGCCAATATCACTGATCAACATAGATGCAAAAATCCACCATAAAATACTA